TACGTTAAAATGAGTACTTCACAGAAATTTCTTTCTCTTATTTTTTTTAATAATTTTGTAGCAAAGGGTTTGCATTTTCATTCACAGATGTGGTCACTAAGGCTGAGAAAATGTGTCTGACTTGCTGGGATTATTGAATGCACACCAAATCCTATTCCCTAAGGCTTGTATCTTTCTGTTTTCCCAAAGCCTGGAGGAGCATTACCTCAATAGACCAGGCCAGGTAGGATGACTCGAGCCTCAGTTCTGGGTCCAGAGCTCCTAGGATAATAGAAAAGTTAATATTATCTCAGATTACATTGTTCCCATTTATAAAGTGGGAGTACTGCTTACAGGGCAGCAGCAAAATTTAAGCAAGCTGCTATTATCTCATGAGACACTCAGTTATAAATTAAAATTCTTATGAACACATTTTAATAGACTTAGTATCATTTGCTGGACTGTACTGATAATACAGTTTCATTTCATATGAATAAAATACATTTTTTGTTACCTTGAAATTTGATATTTGTGTTAATCCCAGTGTCGTTTAAAGACCTGCATTATTGATTGGCAGGTACAACTATCTTTTTATACTATGTAGACTTTAATTTTTTTGAGTGATTACATTCATTTAATTTTGGAATTAGTTCATGTCCCATAATGTGCTTATGGAGGTCAGAGAACAACTTTCACAAGTCAGTTCTTTCTCTCCACTCTGTGGGTCCAAGCGATAGAACTTAGGACTTCAGATTTGCTGGCACGTGCCTTTACCCACTGAGCCTTCTCATCAAACCTTTTGTTAAGATTTAATTTTCATTTTTTGTTTTATGCAGGAGTGTGTGTGTGTATGTGCGTGTGTGTGTGTGTGTGTGTGTGTGCATGCACACACATGTGACATATGTTCCAGTGCTTACAGAGGTCAAAATGGTGTGTTAGATGTCCTGGAATTGGAGTTATAAGCAATCATGAGATAATTGTCATGAACTTGGGCTCGAGGAAGGAGCAGCAAGAGCTCTTAACCACTGAGCCATCCCCCCAGCCACATAGTATGCAATCTTCAAGGAAAGTCATGAGGCCCAGGTTCAGGCCTTCCCTGTCAAGACGTTGAGATGGCCTATCAACTGTTGAATGTACTGATCAAGAAGACAGGCTTTGGGGAAGCATGAGATGTCAACAGATTAAGGTACTTGCTCTGAAGCCTGATGACATCAGTTCTGTGCCCAGTACTCATAGTGGAAGAGAAACCCAAACTTCTGAAGCTGTTCTCTTCAGCATGTACATAACTCCTACTCATATAGATACATAAGCAAACAAAGGTGAAAACATAAAAACAAGGTGGGTTTTTAATCTGACTTGGATTTATGATCCGCTAAGGACTAACCATTAAACCTAATGAGTTAAATCATAGATAAGTCTTTTCTTTTAGGAGCGAGCCTGCCAATTTTCCTTCTGAACTCAGAAAGAGGAAGCTCCGGGTGTGTTCTGGGAGGAATCCATGAAAGCAGGAATGACCAGCGTCTGTAGATTTCCAGTGCTGGGGTCTTGTCAGCTGGCTCTACCTCAGTGAAGTCTAAGTCACGGGGCATATTCTGATGCAGTTTTACCGCCCCCCCCGCCCCAGTAGCCCTAGAATTTAAAACATAGGTTGTGAGGTACCTTATTGAGTCTGCCTTCCTAAATGTGCCCGTCAGTAGTCCCCAAACCTTAAAACAAGAGCAAGGAGATGAGTGTTGTGCAGAGAACCTCGAGACTCTTCAGACAAAAAGAAAACACTTGTCCAACTCTGAAATGTGAAGGGCTTATGGAAAGTGACCCAAGAGTTCTCTGAAATCAGAATCACAACACAGAACAGTTGGAGTCTTCTGGATGAAAGCCTGTTGGAAGTGTACTCCAGTCAGATTCCTGTGTACACTGTTAGTTGATTAAGTGAGTCTATCAACTCTAATTAAAATACAATTTTCCTAATGTGTTTGTTCAACATTACTCTATGTGGTGTTTTAATGGTAGATTTAAAAAATCGTCAAGAACAAATAAATTACTAAATTGTGTGAATAAACAGTGTGCCTTCCAGATGCCCATGTTGACTTAATGGGAAGGTGTGTGTGTGTGTGTGTGTGTGTGTGTGTGTGTGAGAGAGAGAGAGAGAGAGAGAGAGAGAGAGAGAGAGAGACAGACAGACAGACAGACAGAGAGAGAGAAATAGGTCTTTCCTCAGACTACAGGTCACAGTATGGGAAAACAAGAACTTTAGAAAACATTTGTGTGTGTGTGTGGTGTGTGTGTGTGTCTGTGTATAATAATATATTAGAAGAAGGCTCTTTAGATTGGCTTAAACAGTACAGTCTGGATAATTCAACAATGGTTATTTGTACCCTGGAGAAACTGAGAACTCAGTAGCTGCTCAGTCCAGGAGTGGATGCTCTATCAGTTATAATCCAGCACAGAAGGCCTAGAAAATTCCTGAAGAGCCACTGTTCACACTGAAAAACCCAATGAAACAGGAGTCCAATGATAGTGAAGGTAGCAGTGGTAGCAATATTAAATACAGATGTACTCACATGCAGTTCCTGTCCCGTTTGAGTTTCTATCCTGATTTATTTCAATAAAGAACAGTGACGAGGAAGCATAAGTCAAATAAACCCTCTTTCTTTAAGATGCTTTAGCCATGGTGTTTCATCACAGTAATAGCAACCCTAAGTCAAAAACTGCTCTCTGATAGCTGGTTATTACTGTGACAGACCTAGATTAGGCAAGAATTTTGGAATTTTAAAAAAGAAAAGCCATTGAGTGTTCAAAGATTGGTGAGCTATTCTGTGGATATTTGGAAGCGAGAAAGAGAGACAGACAGACTGGGTCTAGCATATTTGAAAACTCAAAGCTCACCCCCAGTGACACACTTCCGCCAACAAGACCACACCAACTCCATCAATGCCATACCTCCTAATCCTTTTAATTTTTTTCAAACAGTTCCTCTGAGCCTATGGGGGTCATTCTTATTCAAACCACCACATGCAACTCCCTGCCCCCACATCCAGGCTTGTAGCTATATCATAATGCAAAATATTTATTTAGTTCAGCTTCAAAGGTCCCCGTAGTCTGTCACAGTCTCAACATCAGGTAAAAGTTCAAAGTTCAAAGTGGAAATAACTAAAGATGAATAGCTAACAGAAAGAGCGAAGAAAGGAGAGGAGAGGGAAGGGAGGAAATTTCAGTTCCTTGTGTTCAGGAAATAGCACATCTTTTTTGAGACTCAAGAAAATGTGTTAAGTCTAACCTCTGAAGGAAAGGAACTTTAGCTTGGTGGGTTCTTGTCCTGATGTACTACCATTCCTTTATTCTGTTTAGGATCAGGCTTTTCTCTAAACTTTTCATCTCCTTGAGCACTGGCTTTAACTCCATTACACTTCCTGGTGCTTCCATTCACTCCAAACTGTACATTTTTAATATCTCTTTCCCTACTTCATTCCTTTTAAATCATATAGCCCCATGAGAATGATTACTAATAATCATACCAGAGTCCATTTTAGGTTGTCTTCAAATATCCACCACCACTGCCATTAATCAAAGACTCTTTCAAAAAAATCCTCAGGCAGAATTTTAGGACAGGGGCAAAAAGTAGCCATATTCCTTATCAAAATACCACAGGAATGGGTTAGAGGTCCCTTACTAAAATTCTTCCCCTCTGAAACTTCCTTATCTGGGCCCCTGTAGTTCAAATTACCCTCAACACTGTCTTCTTGACCCATTAAGTCCTGCTTAAAGTGTCTGATTTCTTACAGGCTCCAACAGAGCAATTTAACAAGCTTTGAACACTCAATGGCATTTCTTGACCAAAGTTCCAAAATCTTTCCACAGTCCTCCCCAAAACATGGCCAGGTCTGCACCGCAGACCCTGACTATCCTAACACCAATTTCTGACTTAGTTAGGATTACTAATACTATGATGAAACACCATGGCTAAAGCAACTGGAGGAGGAAGCGGTTTGTTTGGCTACACTTTCACATCACGGCTCATCATCATTGCTCAGAATATCAGGACAAGAACTCAAACATGGCGGGCACATGGAGCCAGGAGCTGAGACACATCATGGCTTGCTCAATCTGCTTTGTTATAGAACCTAGGACTACCAAACCAGGAATAGCACCATCCACCATGAGCTGGATCATGCCCCATCAATAAATAATGAAGAAAATTTCCTAGAGGTGGATGTTATGGAGGCATATTCTTGATTTTTAATTTGGAATTGTGCTTCCCTTCTTTCAGATGACTCTAACATGTGTCCAGTTGGCATAAAACTAGCCAGGACATCATATATACCTTAATGCCATGAATGTTATGACCATGTGCATCCTACTCCTTGTAGAATCATTGCAACTTAGCTATCTTTTTCTTTTCAACTGACCATTGATTGATTGTTTATCAAAGTAGAAGTCTGAGGAATGTGGCTTGTGATAGTTAATCTTGATTGTCAGCTGGACATACGTGGCAAGAAGGAACTTCAGTTGAAGAATTGCTTCTATCTGACTCACCTGTAGGCATGTCTGTTTGACATGTTCTTGATTTCTCATTGATGCAGGAGGTCCTGATCCACTGTGGGCAATACCTTCATTAGGGAGCTGAGCCTGAGTTGTATAAGAAAGATGCCTGAAAGACAAATAGACCCTATTCTACTCAAATTGATTTTAGTGAGTGCTTTATCACAACAACAGAAAGCAAACTATGATTGATGGTGTTTAACCCAGTTTTAGAGTGTGTGCTTAGCATGTATGCCTTCCATTCAAAGTACACACACACACACACACACACACACACACACACACACACACAGGTGGGACAGAAGAGAAAACTTATTATTAAATCTTTAATGTGACTTTTTTAACAGATAAATTAATATTGAACTGTTTTTAAATGTTCAACTTATAAAAAAGTTTATCTTATAATTCTACCAAGTACTATTTTTTTCTTCTATTAACTTGTGTATCAGAGATAATAGTTAATATGTATTACTGTTTTACAGACTTGAAACCATTCCAGGATGGCTTATTTTGGGCTGTTCTCTTTGCTGGCCATGCAATGTGTGGTAACAGGGGCAACTTTCTCAGATGAGCCCATGGCGGAGTGGTCCGTGAATATGTACAATCATCTTCGAGCCACTGGGGAAGATGAAAACATCCTCTTTTCCCCACTGAGCATTGCCCTTGCAATGGGAGTGATGGAACTTGGGGCTCAAGGATCCACACTGAAAGAAATCCGTCATGCAATGGGATATGATGGCCTGAAAAATGGTAAGTTTCTGGGTTTGATTTCTCATAATTATTTGGGTTTAACTTTTAATCCAATCACGTTGCCTTCTTCCAGAGGAGGCAATATTTACAAGAGGTCAGGAATAATCTTATTGCAATAAAAAGGTTAGAAGAGTTACAATTTATAAAAAAGGGGTTCATTCCTGTCTCCGGTCATAGCTGAGCAAATCCAAGGAAAGTGCATCTTCTCAAAGGTATTATTTAAATAAGCTTGCATAGTTTTTGCATAGTAAAGAAAAAAAGTGATTCTGTAATTGCCAGTGTAAGTTGTCATAGAAATAAATGACAAGGTAGCTGTGATAGATTATAGAAAGAAAGGCTTCATGATTTTAGAAGAATAGCAAATTTTGCTTTACAACCAATGATGCTTTTATTGCTTAAATAATATCCAGGATTTTGAAATGTATTATTATAAAATTATACCAACTAGGGAAAAATTTGGAAATGGGTGTAATTTTTGTTTTAGCACTTCTATCTAGCGTGCACATGAACAAATTCATCAGAAAGTTTAAAAAGAAAGCAATGGATTTTCTACCAATGTTATTTAATCATCAGGTGAGAGGAAATTTTAAAGGAATATCTTCTAGATAACTAATTTTTGCTTGATGACCCCAAAAAAGATTATTTGAATGCAACGAATCCAGCCATTTTGAAGTAAAACCACTTACCTTTGGGTTTTTTTTTGTAGACTTTATCCACATCACAATGCAAGGCTGCAGTTCAACCTGCCTAGCATGTCTAAGGTCCCAGGATTGATCTCTGACTCTGCAAAACTAACAAACTAAAACCAAACCAAACAAATATACAAAAACAAAGAGTAACACTTGGTGACCTGGATCAAGCTAATCTGAGCACCTAGAACTAGTACTTGAAGCTCCTTACCATCTCTCTGTGAGGACCGAGCCTGCTGCTTTCCACTGGCTTGGTTCTCCTGATGTCCTTCTCTGTTACAGTGGTCTTTCACCGTGTCTCTTTCATTGATAAACTTGCTATTTGTTATCCTACAGGTGAAGAATTTTCTTTCCTAAAAGATTTCTCTGACATGGTATCTGCCGAAGAGAGCCGATATGTGATGAAAATTGCCAATGCCCTCTTTGTGCAAAATGGGTTTCATATCAATGATGAGTTCTTGCAAATGATGAAAAAGTACTTTAATGCGGAAGTCAATCATGTGGATTTCAGCCAAAATGTCGCTGTGGCCAACTACATCAATAAGTGGGTGGAGAATTACACAAACAGTATGTCCTTTCTTTTCACTATTTACCTCAGTATTAATCATCTTTCCCTTTGGGATGTATGTGTACCCTCACTTTTATTAAACAAGTTAAATCCCGTGGCCATGAGTAGAATATTGGCTCTGATCATCTGTCATAAGTGCTCCCCAATAGATGGAACCCCCTTGTGTAGCTTCTGTGTGGGATTTTGTTTGAACTATTTGATAATGGTAGTTAGTGATAGTGATAGTTTCATTGTAAGATTGAAATAGAAGAAAAGGCCAGGTGTTGGTGGTGCATGCCTTTAATCCTAGCGCTCGGGAGGCAGAGTTAGGCAGCTCTCTGTGAGTTCAAGGCCAGACTGGTCTACAGAGTGAGATCCAGGACAGGCCCCAAAGCTACACAGAGAAATCCTGTCTTGAAAAAACAAAAGCAAAACAAAAGTCTAACAAAATAGAATAAGAAATGAAAATCAAAGTTAGAAAACTTTTTCATAGTTTTACAGCCACAATAGTTAATAGGTGATTTTAAGAAGGAAAATAATATTCATTCTAGGAAGAGTTGTCCACTGTAGCTCACACTAGGAGAGAGGAATTACAAACCAGCTTCACATACTTTGTATTTTATTTCTAATTTATGTTTGTTGTTGTAAAATTTATTTTTATTTTATGTATATATATATATATATATATATATATGTAAGCCTCAGTGTATATATGTGAACCAATTGCATATCCATGGAAGCCAGAAAAGGGCTTCAGATTCCCTGGAACTGGAGTTACAGGTCAATGTGTGAGCCTGTGGGTACTGAGAACCAATCCCATGTCCTTTATAAAAGCAGCAAGTACTCTTAACTGCTGAGATATCTCTTCAGCCCCCAATAATTCATATTTTAGTTGTATTTAACACCTCTAGGTGGTAAATTGCATCATTTATTTTTTCAATCAGCCAGGAAGATGACTGAAATAATAATCTAAAAGTTGAGACTAATTAAAAGCAGCTTAATGGAAGAAAAGAGGGAGAAAATTAATGTAGGAGAATATGTGGATAACATGTACAATAAACAATATGCACAATGTATAAAAACATAAAACAAATGAATTAAAAATAAATTAATAATTTAAGTAGATTAGTATAGTTCTTTATTACATAGAACATCAATGTTATTAATGTCATAAATTCCCAAATGTTTATATTGTAAAATCTTATGTTAGAACAAAAAACACTATCAGACACCCTAAATCCTACAATTCATACAACCTTGAGAGAGTGTTTAAGAAATGATATGGTTGACAAAATGAGAAAGTATTAAATAAATTTGGTCTTATTTAGATTATGAGATTATTTGTGATGTAACAGAGACATTTTACCATTATTAAGGATTCAGAAAGAATAACTATCTACCTTAAATATATTGCATTATTAAAATATGCTAGCTTTCAAATTATTTTGGTACTCTTAGCAAAATAGCAGCAACCGATTTGTTAATGATGGAACTATGTGTGTATGGTGGCATTCTTCCTTTAACAGTAATATGCTGTACTTCTGTTGCATGCACATCTTGCATCTGTAGGGACCTCTCTGTCAGAGGGTGGTGTGTCGAAGTTCTTTGCTGTGCCTTTCCACTTTTTAATTTAAAGCGAATTCTCATCTGCTTCACCTGCACAGGTCTGTTGAAAGATTTGGTATCGCCAAGGGATTTTGATGCTGTCACTCATCTGGCCCTCATCAACGCTGTGTATTTCAAAGGAAACTGGAAATCCCAGTTTAGACCTGAAAACACCAGAACTTTTTCCTTCACTAAAGACGATGAAAGTGAAGTACAGATTCCAATGATGTATCAACAAGGGGAGTTTTATTATGGTAAGGCATTTTTTAAGGTTTTTTTTTAAATTCTTGTAGTAGATCAACAAATCTTTTAAAAGTATGAAATATTTATTGCTCCAATTTCTTGTGAATATAATTTGGGCTGTAGTTCAATTTGCTTGCCTACATTTCCCGAGGCTTCTCATTAGATCGTTACTGAATAGTACAGGTATTAACAGTTTTCCAATATGCATGTAATTAATTACACCAGCCAAGTGGCTTTTGTCATCTAAAATTATTTGATATTGGGTTGGCAAGATAGCTTCCTGGGTTAAGCATTTGCTATGTAAGCATGAGGACCTAAGTATGAATGCCCAGCACAAATAACTCTTCATATTTTGGTATAAACAATGATTTAACTAATTGCTATAATTCAAGAGGAAACAAAGACATTGATTATTTTCATTAAATTTCTTTGGACTCTTCAGAAGTTTAAGGTATTGTTTCCTCTTGAAATGCAATTAGTTAAATCATTAACAGAAATGTAATTGTATAAAGAATATGTGTTAGAACTAACAGTTTTATCTAAAACTATGTCTAATATACTTCGAAAAATATTAATAACAAAGATATTCTTCTTAGTTTCGATGGTAGAGAAAATTTAAAGTAATGACAAGAACATGTATTCTAAAGACTCTCTCTCTCTCTCTCTCTCTGTGTGTGTGTATGTGTGTGTATGCACACATGCATAAGAAATTCTGAAAAATTTATGGACCACAAAATAAATTATCTCACTTACCTAATTACTGACTTTGAGAGCTTTGTTATTATAAATTATTGTGATATATAGTATATAATGAATAGGTTTTATTTTAGCTAGCAGCATTGACCTTGTATCTTGTAATTGTGGTGAAACAGAGTACCCATGATTAAAAGTTGTCTTCTTCAAAATCAAGAGAACTGGTAAATGTCCAAGTTGTCACACTCAACTTGAAGTCAGGGATTTCATTTTAGAATCATAGTTTTCACTATGTTAAATTGAGTTATCTTATTTAAAAATAAAAAAGACTAGAGAACATAAAAATGTGAGATAATTCTGGGAATTCAAAAATAAATACATCTTTGGAAGTGGTGATGCATTTACTTTCAAGGCCTAGTTTCAAATAAATCATTTTGCTTTAGGTGCCTGAATTTCTTATTTTTCTAAACATTATTGCCTTTTTTAAAAAAAGATTCATTTTTTTGTGTTGTATGTCTTTCTTGCATGTGTGTATGTATGTATGTGTACCACATGTGTGTTGATCCAGGAGGCAGCCAGAAGAGAGCATTTAAATCTCCTGGACACAACATTACATATAGTTGTGAGCCACTGTGTGGGTGTTGGGACCTGAGCCCACGTCCTCGGCAAGAATCTTAACTACTGAACGTTTCTTCAGATCCCAACATTCTTTTCAAGTGAAGACATAAAAAGCTGAAATCATTTTTCAAAAGGTTTGATATGAACTCTAAAGCCTTTCTTTTGTTTTTTAGGGGAATTTAGTGATGGATCCAACGAGGCCGGTGGCATCTACCAAGTCTTAGAAATACCCTACGAAGGAGAGGAGGTCAGCATGATGCTGGTCCTGTCCAGACAGGAAGTTCCACTGGCCACACTGGAGCCTCTGCTCAAAGCACAGCTGATTGAAGAATGGGCAAACTCTGTTAAGAAACAAAAGGTGGAAGTATACCTGCCCAGGTGAGAGTTCCTGGGTGGCCCTTTGCACAGCACTGTGCTGTGATCCAAAAATCTCTTGCCAATGCTTTCGAAATTTCAGTCTCCTCCTCCTCTTCTGCTTCCTCCTCCTCCTCCTTCAATTCTTTTTCTCTTTCATCCTTTCCCCCGTCTTCGTTTCTTCTCCTCTTCATCCATTTTCATCTACCTCTTTCTTCTCCTTTGTCTGCTCTTTTTCCTCCCTTTCCTCTATCTTCTCTTTCTACTTTCTCTCTTCTTATCCTCCTCCTTAACATTCAGTAGTACAGACACAATCCTACCCAGAGATGTACATCTACTCTCTGGTTTGTTAAACAGTAAATACCACATGCTATTGATATTGATAATAGCTGGGGAGAAAACCTCTTCCACTATTGGAAGTACTTGTGAACAAGCCACCGTAGTAGGTACTGACATATGCTCATATACACAGAAAAGATCTGCTTGAAATCCTTCCTGTGTCCGAAAGTGTAAGATGTATGCATGACTTTAGGACTGTGACTACTCTTCTCCTGGTTTCCACCCTAGGGCTCTCAGCTCAGTCGTATTTAACAGCCTGTGGTTTCCACTTCCCGATATCTATGACACATATATGATTGCTTTTCCATGTCTGAGCCTCCATTTATATTCTTGCACTGACCTATAGTGCCCTTCTCCAAGTAGTGCTTACTTAGTCTTAAGGGTCAGTTGTGACATTAGACCTTACAGGAAGTCATCTATGAGCCATGAGTTCACAAGCAAAATAAATAAAGTAGGCTAGAGAACAAAACACACCAATAACATGTGATATGTATGTGTACGTGACAGTACAGTTTTAGGACTCACTTTACATTAAGAAAATTATTCAAATACTAGTTTCTATAAATATAATCTTTTTATAAAAGTGTGATAATGGTAAATAAATGAACAAATCTGGGTTACACAGTCTTATTAATTCATATGGATTCCAATTTTAGGAGCTGATGTTTAAAAGTTTTATTTTATGCAAATGCCTAATTTGTCCAAAAACATAGTTGATGGTTTGCCTTTGTAAATAAGGATCTATTTGTATTGATATTGTAGCTAGAGCATTATAAAGTCAACATATATATGTATATACATATACACACATACACACACACACACACACACACACACACATATATATATATATACCTTGCTTAGTCTTCTTATAAAAACTAAAGTAATCATAACCCAAAAATTTAAGGTATCTAAGATATTTAGCATGAATTACTTTCCATGATGATACATTTACAAAGGAATATTCTAATAGTCTATTCTCAAGAAGTCATCAGTGAATAACAAATGTCAGCAGTTTGTTAAACTATAAAAATTGTCATATACTTATTTGTGAACAAGGATATTTTAAACTGTAATATTTTATTTCTAACATTAATAGTTGAATATGAAATAATTGTCTAAGGCTCAAACCCATATTAAAACTCATTCCATGATTTTTATCATGAATTTAATAGTGTTTCTCATAAGAAATTTTTTTGATCATATAACAAATTCAATACAGTGTTAAGGCTTCAGTAATTAAATTCCATAAGCTAAGTATAGTGTCTCCAAAAGCTTCCATTCTGTGAAAATATGAAGTTACTTACATGTATTTTAACAGAATTCTAAATGAGTGCTTAAGAAACATTATTTATTCTAATTTATTCAAATTCACTAGAAAACGTGTCCTCCAGGTCACGTCCACTGAGAAATAGAATGCAGTAGCAAAAGAAAATTAAATTTTCATTTTCTAAGAGTTATTCTTCAATTATGAAACAGTTTGGTTTGCGTGCTCTTTTTAATGCAAGCTTCTATACTAGAACCAGCTATCTACCATGTCTCCATTTCTTTAGGAGTTTTATGAAGTCTCCCTGTGCACAGATAATGTTCAGATACCGTTCAGATAATGTTCAGATAGCTCAAAGAGATAAATTAGATTTTTCTTTTGTAACAAAGTAACTGTTTAGAAACAGTTGTTTGTTGTAGTAATCAGATACAAAGACCCACAGTCTCTAGACGTTGGAGCCTCTAAGCATTTGATGAGGGTAGTGGCTTCTGTGCCCCAATTTGAGCAAAGGTTAAAAAAAATGCCTCTAATAGCTGGATTCTAGGTTTACTCAAGGATCAGTTCATCATGACTCATGTAGTTTTCATGGAGAGATGTTTGTCTAAAAATTCAAGCTTACATTTCCACAAATACATTCTTGTCCTACCAAACAGGCACCTTTAATTTCAGACATATTAGAGTTTATATAGACAGTATAAATCACCAGCCATCCTGAAGGGTTGTACAGTTGATGGCTAGGGCTGTGGTTCAGTAGAGGGTTTGCTTAGCATTCCTGAAGCTCTGGAGTCTATTCTTAGCACTGCATGGACTATGTATGGTGACTCACACTTTTAATTCCAGCATTCCAGAGGTGGAGCCAGGGGATCAGAAGTTCAAGGTCATCTTCAGCAACTTACTAACTTTGAAACCAGAGATTTCTATGGATTTGGAAAACTGTGTAGTCAGAAAGACTCAGTTACTATCATTATTTTCCTCCTTTAATCTGATTTGAGCAAGTGGCTTACCTTTCTTTTGTGTTTCAATTATTATTGTTATTATTATTGTTATTATTATTATTATTGGTCGTGGTGGTGGTGCTTGTAGTAGTAGTATCCCAGAGAAAGCAACATTTGCCTCTTGGGTTGTCTGACATCATGATAAGAAAGAGGACAGGGTGCGTAAAATGTGTTTCAGGGGGGATAGTGATAGCTCAATTTGCTAATTGTCTGTAATAAGAGGAGAGGTGATGACTGGCTTGCAAAGGGAAAAAGGCAGGAACAGACAGCCAGAGATTGTTGACAGTTTTTCTTAAGTTTGAACAAAAATCTTAGTAAAAGCTACATTTTAGATGGACTGATATGGGTTTTCCTATTCAAGTTATTACAGACATTAAAATAAAATAGACACTGAACAATTTTGTTTTCACAATAAATATTCATATTTTGGCATATGCAATCAATAGAAGTCTAAACTAAAATAAAAATGTAGTAAATTTCAGGATTTGGAAGAGTATGCTTGATTTACAGAGAGTCATGTCTTAGTCTTTTTTTGGAAACTTTAATCTGCCAAATTTATTTTTCTCAATCATTCCTCTTTATAAATGATAGTTATAATAGTTTTAATAGTTATTTCCTTTTGTTTCTTATGATGTCAGAAATTATAATGTAATATCTAGTAAATAGTTCAACTTATCACATTAAAGACAAGGGCTAGTCTCTAAAAATTACATGCAGAATTTGTACTCAGCATAAGGCAGCATCAGAAAAAGGAAAATATTTCTTTCTGACACATTTTTATCTTGTTTTTAAAGCATTAAACATATTTTTATTTATTAAATTAAAAAGATGAAGGCATGTGTAGTCTTTCCTCTTTTCAGAATTCTCCTAGTCTGTTTGCCCTACTTATACTTCCTGCCTGGCTACTGGCCAATCAGCATTTTATTCAACCAATATGAGTGACAAATCTTTACAGGGTACAAGAGCATTATTCCACAGCAGGCATGTTTGTTCAATATCTCTGCCTAGAATGACTAATAATATGACTCATTGGTTTAAGAAGAGATATATTAACCAACATGCTTTATCACAGAAACCATTTATTGGAAGTTAAGATTCCATTTGTGGATATGATAATTAATGTTTAATTTTCTTAGAAAGTTGATACATTTTTGTACATAATAATTCAAAATTCTTTAAAAATAAAGTCATGATTGTTTTCAAAAGCACCCTGTAATTGTAAATGCTCACAGCATTGGAGATATATTTACCTTGTTTTCATTGATAAGTAATTTTTTGTGATGATCTCATGAAAGCATGTTTTTTTATGTGTTAGAGTTTGATATAACCACAATGATGATTTATTTTTAATGTGAGAGGTTTTATGGAGTTAAAATGTGTATTGTATTAATTGCAAAGTCAAATTTGCCACTTGGTTATCCCTGTTCATTTTGGATGGGGGATTGATAGGAAGTATCAGTTGACCAGATCCAAATAAATAAATAAATAGATAGATAAATAAATAAATAAAACAAATAAAATAAGAAGAGAGAAAAAAGAAAGAAAGGAAGGAAGACCCTAAGTAAATTTGAAAGCAAATTTACAGTTAATCATTTTCACCTTGAAAAATCATGAATATTAACCTACCATAATATTTTGAAAATTATTGATTTATGGATTTAAAAAAAATGTTTCTATATGTTGTGTGTGTGTGTGTGTGTGTGTGTGTGTGTGTAAAAAATGTGTGAAGATAAGAGGACAACTTGCTGGGGATCACTTTTTCCTTCTACTGTGTTGGTTCTAGGGACCAGAATAAAGTTATCAGGCTTTGTGGAAAGTGCCTTTATCCACTGAGCCATCACACTGGTCCCCATTGACATGATTCACATAATATTTAGCAACACCTAACCTCAAAGATCCATTTAAGTCTCATGTATTGTAGTTGTGTGCCCATAGCAAATGCTTTTCTACTAATGGATTTAAATCCTATTGTGTTAGTTCATTCACTTTGATCCATTCTCATTTTTATTGAAAAAAACTTTTTATGTCGTATATTCTGATTATGCTTTCCCCTCCGTGGATTCTTCTTAGATTCATCTCATTCTTCTATTCCCACAACTCCACACAGATTCTCTCTAAAAATCAAACCTAAGAGGATGAAGGATGAATATCTCTCCTCTCTTTCTCACAATATTTACAATCACACTCACACACTCCCATACACACAGAAAGCACAGAAATCAAAATATAGAAGCCCAAAACCAATAAGACAAAACAAAACTACTTCCAAACAAAACAATAAATATAAGACAAAAAGTCTACAGAAATACCATCAAGTTAAAATTCCTGTTGTGTTGACCATGACCTAGACAGGTTCAAGCCAGATGGGGTCCCAGAGTTGGTAGAAGAGACATGGGTTCCCACACCTAACCGAAAAGCTGTCTGTAACTGGTACCCACTTGTCAAAAGAAAAATTATTTTCTCCAGTTGTCACCCCCATATTTCCATAAACACAGTCACACACTTCTTCCCATCAGCAGTCACTTTTAGCTTAATTTACCCACTCTAGAAAACACTTTTGTCATCGACGTACTGAACATTATAGCCTTGTTCCATAAAAGAAGTTGTCAATACCTTCTTCTTGTGTGTTCTCCAGGTTCACAGTGGAACAGGGAATTGATTTAAAAGACATCTTTAAAGCCCTTGGAGTCACAGAGGTTTTCATCAAAGATGCAAATTTGACTGCCATGTCAGGTAAGAAAGAATTATCCTTTAAAATATTATTCATACAAAGCTCTTCAAAATAGTGATCCTAAGTCCGTCATGTCTCATGTATTTCTAATATGTAGTCATCACTTACCAAATCAATGAGACAAGAGATAAGTTCACTTGCACAAACTAAACTATAGATGTAACCATAGTGTTTCATCTTGCCGGATGTGGGCCTTCTTAGTAGATTCTTTCCTGAACACTTCTTTTTGGTACACCTTTAAATTTTCTATCATGCCTGTTACAATACCTCGTGGAATAGACAACCAACGAATATGTTAGGTGGATATCTAAATACATCCCACTGGAATTAGTCATATAGAAAAGGTGAATGAATGCCTTCTGCTGTAAGAAACAGGCCAAAGGTTATCTTGAACAGAATAAAATTACCTAGTGAGATATTGTAAACCTTTTCCTAAATATTCAGGAAAAACAATGCCTTTTAAAAGTAACTTTAAAACATACAGAAAAATGAAAAATAACAAGTTGAATTATTGGAAGAGGAAGCCTAAAATGTGAGTAACATTAAAGCATTTATGATATTTAAATAATTTTGGATATAGTTTTAAGTGATTAACCATAGGGTATTTACCATTTAAGTTTAAGCCTAAATGAGTAAGCTTTTCTAATCATGATTTTCTATTTTTTTGAACAATAGAAAAATAGGATTGTTTTTGGATGAGAAGACAAATATATATTAAAATAAAAAAAACTAAACTTGTAAGAAAGACCTCTTTAGAGACAATGTAGTTGAACTATATATAGTATATGGTGGTGGACCTTTCAAATCAGTTCCTATGTTAAAGAAAGAATTGAGTTTTCATCTCCTGAATCAGTCACCTGGGTGAAATCACAACTTCTATGTCTTTGCTGAATTCTGGAAATATATTCCCCACTTATGAAATTGCTCACATGTGTACATGTGTGTGTGCATATTCTTATCTACGTTTACATTTGGGGAGGGAGAGATAGGAGGAAGGAAGGAGTACATGGAGGAGAGAGAGAGAGAGAGAGAGAGAGAGAGAGAGAGAGAGAGATTCAAAGGGTTCAAGAAATCCTAGCACTTACCCTCCCAGAATGAGGATAGTGAGGGCAGGTTTTAAGCATTACTCAGATTCTAGCAGTGAGCTGAGAATGATATATTTCTGATATATTTGGTACTGTAACTTCTGCTCCTCATTCAGGGAGCTTAATGTCCTAAGCACCAACAGATACTATCTAAGAGCCTACTGTATAGATGACCCTGTCTATGCAAGAGATATGTGTTTTCTTCTAGTAAATGTCTTCAGGGCTCACGTCCAAGTTCTTAGAGCTGCAAGCACCTCATTGGCATAGTCAGGAAAACCCGACTAGTGGAGATTTGGAAGATCATCTGATATTTCTGTACCTGAGTCAGAAATATATTCATAGCTGAAGCATAGCATAAAATTCTAATGCTGTCTTCCTTATAAATTTAGAACATTGATCTTACTCTACTGGCTGAATTCCCACTGGATAATTACATTCTACTTTCTTTACCATGATTCCTCACTGTCTGCCAAGCATCCAGGCAGATATTTTACCCCAATATAACACCTGCTGCCACTCGGTCCTGAGGGGTTAGCTCTGCTAGGGCAAGGCAATCACTGTGGTCGGTGTGACTTGCAATTTTAGACATACTCAGGTTCATAACGTAATATTTCATTGTTTTTACCACCACAGATACTGCAAATCATAATGTTTGTTATGAATCGGATTGTTTGATGATTTGGAATAAGACTAAAATCTTCCAGAGAGTTTTTAGTAGTCTGTAGGCAAAGGGTCTAGTTATTTGATCAAACCTATTAGAAAGAGTTGATAGAAAGGAAATGTTTGCCAGAAACTAAAAGAGGTTTAGGGAAGAAGGGAATGGGGCTCTTTGGGTCAATTTTGCAGCCCTAGTTCTTGGGAAGGCAGTTACCAGGCCGACACTTGCCATCTTAAAACCACCCTGTTTAAACTTCGGATTGCTTGAATGAATCTGAAGCAAGCTGCTTACAATTTGCCGTGTGAATCCTTCGACTGTTAAATTGGTTGCTTGATTAAACAGTGGTAGCTCTAGCAGGCCAGCAGCCCCAACTAATCCTCCTTTCTCACCCCTCCTCTTTACCACTCCCCCTCGCTCCCTTGCTCTTCCCTCTCTCCTTCATTAATTTATGAACCATTCATTTGCTTGCTTCTTCTTCTAATATCAGTGTGGTGTCTCTGCCTTGTTTAATTGAGCACCATATGCTCTGTTTTCTATGGTTCATATCCATTTTTAGATGGCTAATTGTTCATCTCTTCAAATAACACAGAACCTTGATAATTAGAGATTCTGTAATTCTTAGTGACCCTCACAAGGACTCAGTAAAAATATTCCCATGCAATTAGTTATTCCTTCTACTTTGCCACGTTTTATGTGGGTGTTCATGATATATAATGTGAATGATATTTCATACTGTGTCTATTATTTTCTTAATTTCATAAAACAACTGCTAGTGGGGGAAATGTATGAGAAAAGTATATTACAAATTTAAGAAATCTTACCTCACACAAATAAAGAAGCATCGAGAGTTTTAAAAGTGTTGTTTGTTTATTATTCTGTCTAAGGGTAGTGAGCCTGAAAGCACATTTGTGTACCACATGTGTGCAATGCCCACCAAAGCCAGAAGAAGGTGGCAGATCTTCTGAAACTAGAGTTGTAGAAAGTTGTTCGTTGTGACTGCTAGGAATCAAATCTGGGTACTTTTCTAGAGCAGCCAGTGCTTCTAACCAATTAGCCATACCCCAAGCCCCAATGCATGAGGGCTTATGGGGAGAAAGACATAGCAGCCTAATTTAATATAAGAAAGACTAAAGGAACCACTAACAGTGATTCTCAAGAAGGCCACGTGTCCTTTCCATCCCCGCCACAGGGAAGAGTCAGCAATAGTTCAAGACCTTCTTGTATATCACAATGGGAAGTGGTTCTAGTCTCCAGTGAGAGGCCAGTTATGCCTGTGAACATTTACCATGCACAGCACAGGCTCCCACAATGACTAACTAGCTGATCTTAAATGTCAGCAGTGACTAGAGGATGGGAAACCGTGGATTAGGGCAAACATGATGGAAACAAGGAAGAAAGTAAGCCTAAAGTCAAATGAGGCCCCTTGCAAAGGACAGAAGGGAATATGTAGAGAAGTCTCTGAATATTGACAGAAAAAAGCACTTGAGTGCTGGGAATCGTTTCAGCTGGACTGGCTGGCTACCAGTGAGCCACTGGGGTCTCTCTGTCTCTTCCTCTCAGAGTCCGGACGACAGGTGTACTGCGCCACACCTGGGTTTTCCCCATGGGTCCTGGGAAACCAGAGCTCAGGTCCTCATGTTTGTATGGCGTGCGCTTTACCCAGAGAGTCAGAATTTTAATTTCTTACAGAACTCGGTACTATTTGGAATGCTACCTTGTACATGTGTTTCTTTTTTTTTGCCCATCATTTTACTTTAAAGTTTTAGAAAACTGTTTGAAAGAACTATAAGAGAATGAATCTGTAAATTTGAAAGCATTCAAAGAACTGCCCTTCGTTGTTGTAAAAATACGGTAGATTTTAAAATCGTGTTTGGAGAAGAAAACAAGCTACCTGCGCCACTTCCTTTTGCTCCAGGAGAAACCAGATGACTTGAAATCCTTCCCTAAGACTTCTGGCAGAGGCCCTCTCATTTTTATCCCTTTGAATCCACTCTTGTGGGGCTGCTTCTCGCTGCTGCCCTAGGCTACTAATACTCTGCTAAATGGTTTCCCATCTCTCTCCAATCTAATCTGCTGTATCTTCCGCTGCCATGATTAATCACTTTAGTACTCACTGACACATTGCCGCACTGGCTCACAGCGCCCTTTGCTTTGCAGGTCATTATCCCCCTGGTCCCCAGGGAACGGAGAGCTCCTCCCTCTCAAGTTCAGTCCTACTTAGCTTGTGTTCTGGTCACTCTGGTCACTTGCTCTGCCTATCTGCTCAACTCCTCACATCTGGGAAAGCTCCTCCACCCAAACTGAGCCTCACCTCCAGATAGCTCACATTTCATCAAGCCGCCGTGACTGCATCCCTAGAAGCAGCTGCTCACTAAGTCGCTGGCGTTTTTTGTTCCTCTTTGTTGCACAGCACACATCTTATTTCATATTTATGTTACTTATGCATCTACTATCCCAGGCAGAATATAAATGGACCAAAGATTGATTCTGACGCATGTTTCCTCAGTGCCCACCACTCTTACTTGCTTAGTACTTATTGAATGCAGACATAAATGAGGTAGGGTGTTCAATATTTATTATGGTGACTTCTCCATCTCAATGATAGCCATCGCTCCTGATGCTAAATCCCATTAACATAAAACACGGTAAAGACTCATACAAAAAACATGGAATACGCAGTGCTGAGAATCATTTCCTTCTCAGGCTTCATTGAAAATGCTCTGGTAGCTGCAACAAGGATTCTCTTATACAGGAAGGCTATTTTTATAATGGAAATGAATGGCATTTGGATTAATAGGTAATCTTCTTGGAAGGTATAAGGGACAAGTAAAAGAGACTACTAAATCCTTCAGCATAAAGTACAAGCTTTAATAAAGAAGCCAATAAAATAAAGGACTTAAAAAGACATAGTGAAAGGCGTATTCAGGTCAGATGCAAGCACTGTAGATTGATGCTGTCCCAGCTCCTGGATCCTGCCCCCTGTTGCTCTGTCTGCTTGCACTGTAAGCCGGAGGGCTTGTTCCTTTTTCACTGCCACAATTCTGCCTTTGTTCCTACTTTATTTGCCTGACTATTGCCAAAGAGAACTTGATCTGCCTGCTGCTAGGTTTTTGCTCATCCAAGTTATCTCTTCACTGGTCCCTTCTAAGCGCAGGGCAAGCATATGCCATTGTTTCTAGACAAAGCCCAGGCTCTCTAACCTCAAGGCTAAAGCTCTTGGCACAAGACACTTTGCTACTCCTTAACGCCCTTACTGTCT